CCCTCTCTCCTCTCTCCCTTCCTCTTTGAAGTCAATGTACCACTAAGGATATCCATTAAGGAAACTGAGTTAATTGGATTAAGTATTTTGTAAGTCTTTTTAAAATATAAATTTTTTGAATTCCTACTGATATTTCCAATTCAAATTAACTATTAAAAATGTAAAATTTTATTATTCTTGTATCTCTTATCTCCTACTGTAAAAATACTGATTTTCAACCACACAGCATAGTCATTCATTTGCAATTATAGTACCCACACAACAGTATCAAAAATACTAACAATGTTGTTAATTATTCAGATGATGACTGAAGAAACTTCAAGTTTTTTGTTTTGTTTTTGGTACTCTATAAAGTTTGCATATCTCAATAGGGATGTTGGTCATATTACTATGCTTTATGTCCACTTGAAATAGTTTCTCTTTGTGAGGTGGTTCTTTCAATTCAATACTGAGTAGTTTTTGCTTTCTTTTAGGGATTTAAAAACATTTCATTATTTTTTATAATTATGTAAAATATTTACAGTTGTTATAAAGTTAAATGTTGAAAACAGTGTATATTTAAGGAAAGTCTACTTTCAATCCCTGCCCCACAGTTTTGTTTTTTTAACTTTTTATTATAGAAACTTTCAAACAGATATAAAAGAAAGAGACTATTATAATAAAAATCCCAGATATCCATCACTCATCTTCAGTAATTATCAGTTATTGTTAATCTTGTTTATTTATACACCCAATCTCTTACCATTGTTAGTTATGGTAGTTTAAAAATATTACAATATTTGTTTAGGGTAGTCCTGAAGATAGGTTTGTATTCTATTGGAAGTAATCTGCTCTACAAGGAGAAATAGATGATTTGTGAAAGAATAGGATAATTGCAGGAGTAAAGTATTAGGAAGAAGTTATGTGGTCCAGAACAGTGTGGAAGAATTGGCCTTTAGTAGGGCCAAGGACACTTCATTCATACTTTCTGGGAAGACAGTGACAGATATGGTATTTGGTGGATTTAGTAGGAAGATGAAGGAATTTCTGTCTGCTGCTACTGCTTTTTCTTTATTTGATTTTAAGTGAAATATGAGAAAGTTGTCACTTGAAAAATGAAGGGTGGGATAAGAGTAGAAATGGTTCAGGAAAGTGTGATAAACATATTAAGGAAGTGCAATATAGTTGCTAGGCAGTGCTGAGTGTCTACCTGAAATTTGTGGTCATGAATTTATAGTGAAATCAGAAAGCTTGTGTTTTTCTCCCCCAGATATTTAGATGAAGTACAGATGTGAAATCAGTGGATAACTTGGTTTTAAACTGGATTAGGTGTTTGTAGGGTGAGTATATCTGAGGGAAAGAGTGGCAGGGGATTAAGTAAGGAAGGAAATGAAGACATGGGTGGCATGAGGGATGCAAGGGTGGAGAGGTAGTAAAAATGTGGGGTACCTCAGAGAATCAGTAGGAAAGAAAAAAACAAAATAGTTCTGGGGAATAAGGTAGTAGTTGACCACCACTGGAGTGAGTTAGCTTCAACTCTTGTTTTTTCATCTCTTTGCTCAAGATTCAAATTCTTGGTGGAGAGAAATCAATTAATTAGTCAAATGCTCACCCTTTAACCAGGAGAAAGAAGGAAATATAGTAATCAGGGGAATTTGTCTGAGAAATTTGGTAGTTAGGATCTGAAGTTTGCCCGAAATATTTTTTTAAATCTTGCTGTTTTTCTATATTATGTAAAAGGAGATGTTACTTGCCCAGTTTGTACTAGGTGTACCAGTTAATAATATGGATTTTTTCAATAGATGGAGTTACACATATGTTGATATATATGCGATTTGATATGTATGCTATTTTGTTGTATTGACAGCAAGCTTTAAAACTTCATATGTCAAATTTGCTGAAGGTGTTAACATCATAGATATTTTTATGCTTAAAAATGTTGAATTTCGTGCCAAAAAGAAGAGCATTTGCGGGAACTTTTAATTCATTACTTTATTTTGAAGAAAA